CATGATGACGAAGGAGGGAGAACAATTTGGGACAACTCGGATGCAGACACCGACTCGGTAGAGGTCGGGACTTTACTAGACTTCTAGTTTAGTCGAGTAGTAGAATGATACCTGGCGTTATGGGACAGGTATCTTTGGTTGGTTTAGATGATTCTTTCGTTGCGTTTTACTTTTGACAGGAGCTTATCCCAACGACAGAAGATCGGTCATGGACCAGTACTGAATTTCTTCATGCCAATTGATGATTCCTACTGACTACTGTGACATCTAAACCGCGAGTTTACTGGCCAAATCCACTTGCATATCTCTTGTGCAGGCTCCTTTGTGGTGGATGGAAGAAACCTCATGTGTGGCTGGTCACCACCAAAGAATGGCATTCCGGACCCTCACGGAAGCATCACTTAGCCGCATACGTTGTTAACCACTTTGTCGCATACACCCTCGCGACTAATGAAGTACAGAACTTGCCCTAACTTATCTTCTCTTGCTCTCCCACAAAGATGCCAATCCCAAACACAAAGGCGAACATCCAAAACTGCACACCCACCCACAACATCACCAGCCATTACCTCAACCACACACACCACACTTGCTGAAATAGAAGCAACCCGCAGCGAAGATGAAGATGTATGCATAACTTTACCCAACCCCTTCCGCGATTTACTAACCGTCCTCGCGCTTGCAGGACCTCGTGCTGGCCCTTCTCCCTCCTCCGCTGGTGGAAGAACGACGCCAAACCCTCAACGCAGGGCGAGCAAACACCCACAACCAACCCCTCGCAGCCCGCCCACCACGCCCCCGCCACAATAACCAACCAGTCCGACCACCCCCGCCGCGACGAGCACTATTCCCAGAACAACAACCCCCCGGCCTCGCACCACCAGCCCTCCCCCCACGCGGCCACCCCTCTCCGCACACCCAACACCTCTCGCCCCATCAGCCACCCCACCCCAGACCAGCCCTACCACCAGCACCACCGGCGCTCCCTGCTGCCGGCCTCACCCGCCCCATCCTCGCACGCCGCCGCCCACCCCCGCCGCCCCAGCGACCAACCCGAACCCCTCCACCACGGCGGCGGCATTCGCCACCCGGAACTTACCGGACCCCCGAGGAGGCCATTTCCAGAAGCCGCCCCCCCGCGGAGGCGGCGATGGTGGCGCGCGTGGCCCCGCGGCCCCGGGTAGGCGAAGCGAGGCGCGTTTGGACGGCCGGGAATCCGGACGAGGGCGCGATACGCAGCGGAGGGCGTAGCGGTGCGCGACTTTGAGCCGGGGGCTGTGAAGCCCGTGCGGACGGTCGGGAATCCGGACGAGGTGCGGGTACGCCGCGGAGGGAGTTGCGGTGCGTGACTTTGAGCCAAGGGCTGTGAAGGAGGTGACGGGGGAGTGTGGAGGCGGAGAGGGAGCCGGAAGCTCCGGGCGGGAGCGAGGATGAGGATGGGAGCGAGGACGAGGATGGGAGTGGTGTTGGCGGTATTGGTACCGTTGAGGTGACTGGCGACGAGGGTGATGATGCGCGAACGCCGGAGGAGCGAGGGAAGCTCAACTGAAGGATGGGGATGAGATGCTGACGTGCGACGAGTGGATCAGGGAGATTAGCTCGTGAAGAAACGAGGCCGGGACGGGATACCGGATGAAAGCGCGGTGGCTGTCCGGCTGAAGATGATGCAAAGCTGGATGGGATCTCAGTGGGGAGACGAGAGGGGTCACTGTGGTGTATCTTGAATCTAGATGCCAGCATGCGGACCAAAAGATCCGTCCGATACTACATCAAGACCGCCAACTGATCTCACCGAGATTTGCAGAATACGCAAAAGAGGAAGTCAACTACGCGTCATGGACATCCCAGTTGAACACGTAGAACTACGGTGTGGTGAACTCGTCCTGAAATTGTTGAGTCTCGTACCTTGCATTGCTTGCCAAGATGCTCCGTGTGGAGAGTGGTATTTGGACAAGTCAACACAATAGAAAAGGCGGGAAACTGGGAGAACTTTGGACCAGTACCCGACGAAGTAATCTGTATTTGATTCGACATCCGAGACTGCCAGTGGAAGTGGAAAGAGCCGGGACTTGAATTGAGGAATGAATTGGGCAAGTGGCCCCGGCCCAGCCATGCAGTCGAGAGGATCGAGCGACTGAACGACAGGGATTCCCAGCAATTAGATCTGACCGCTAATAGTGTAAAATGCGGTTTAAAAAAGAGGATAACTAGTCGTACAGATCTGTATCCTGGCAGCGGTTCAAACTCAAAATGTAAGTTTACCCCTGATTGTTTTGGTTTTGCCGTTTCGGGACCCAACTTTCGTGGGCTCGGCAATGATCCGACAACGGCAGGGACCTGGTTGTCTGAGACCGAGATGGCGATTCGCTGGTCTGCTTTCTCCACCTGAGCGTTCTGGCCCAAGCTTTCGCTGGGCATCGCGCCATCCACGCGTTAGGCTTTTGATTCACCGCCGAGCCTCTCGGCTCGATCGCTGCCCGACCCCGGCCCGCCTCCATTCCCACCCACCTTTTCCACCAGTCTCCATTTCCGCTCCCCGGTTTGTTGGCAGCTTTCCCACTTTCGACAGACCCCACGGTTGCGCTCCAAGATCGACCACGATCGGAGCTTGCGCTCGCTGCCAACCCCGTACATTTGTGTTCTTTCTCTTCTTGTACAATCCTTTTATTTTGCCTTTTCCGGCCGTGTTTACACCCTGAGTGACATAGACACCCTCGTACACAATATTTCCCTCCCCGTGGTGCTGCTGTGTCGCTGTGCTGCTGTCCTCCGCCCTCGCCCAAGATTCTCGATCCAAGCTCCGTTTGTTTATGCCCAGCACACCAGACCGGGAAATCGCCGTCACAACTGTTGTGCCCCTCAAGCTGCAGCCACGACCATCGATCGTTTTCTTTTGCATGCGGCCTGTCGCAACCCAGCCACAAACCCTGCAGTGTTCCCGAGAGAACGCGCACCAGCCGCTTCCGCCTGTTTACACTGGTCGGGGACTTGTTCCGTTTATACCTGCCTCGACGCCGATCTGCGCCGCTCGCTTTGCCCCCCTACCCCGCCACTTCTCTCGCGCGACCCGGCCACACGACGCACACCACGAAGGGCCCGCGACACCATAATCGCGAATCGCATCGCTGCCACCCTCTGTCGCAATGACCACGGCCAATTGAAGCGACCATGGTTCGTGTCACGGAGGAGCTGGTGCTCTCGCCAGAGCATGTCACTCTCTACTACGCGAGCGACCCGCTGCTTGGCCAACTCCCCGTCCTCATCTTCTACGGCCCCTCCACCACCGCAAACTACACCCACAACAGCTCCCGAATCCAGATTCACATCTACAGCGCGGCCGGCTATGTGTCCTTTCCCCGCATCACCGTTTCTCCGAGCTCGCCCTTTTACAGCGTCGTCGCCCACCTCCCGCGCGAGTTCCAGGGCGATGAAGTTTGCAGGGGGCTTGCCTTTGGTCTCCGCAGATATTTTGCCGAGCTGCCCGAGGTCGTCAAAAACCATCTCAAGAACCAGTACCCGGTCACACGCGCCCGGCGCCCCGGGTCCGCACCGGCCCTGTTCGGCGAGCAGCATGCGGCCGACCTAGCCAAGGCCGCCGTCCAGGCAGGGAACACGGCCGAGGTTATTGAGATTCTCGAATATGCGCTACGGACACAGCACATGAGTGGAATCGACGTGGACCTAGTCCTGCCGCCGGGGTCGATCGTTCCCCTAGAAAACGCCGACTTCGAGGACGTGCCGGACGACGACGACGATGATATCCTAGACCCGACTCTGCGTCAGTACGGCGGGTACGCTCCGTTGGTGAAGCTGTTCGGTGAGCCGGTCTTTTTACCAACCTCAAAGCTACGGCGAGCGCCGTCGAGGCCGACTTCGTTGAATCGCACCAAGTCCTTTTCCAAGAACCAAAAGGTGGAGCTGCGTATGAAGATGGGCGAGCTGGTCGACACCGAGGAGCGTTACGTGCTCAAGCTTAATGAGCTTGTCAATAATATTGCCAACGACTTTCGAGTAAAAGCCAAAGAGCGCCCCTCCGAGAGCATCAGCCCATGCGAAGAGGATCTGGAGAAGCTGTTCCCCAAATCAGCCGATAGCATTCTCGAGAACAACTCGGCCTTTATGCAGGAACTCCGGCGGATCATGGACGAAACCGAGGAGGAAGCCGTCAAAGACATGGACACCCCGTTCCCCATCACTAGGTTGGGTGGTTCCAACAAGGCCAAGGATCCAAGTGGTGCCGTTGCCATGGCCAAGGTGTTCCTCGAGTGGTTCCCCAAGTTTACCGACTGCTATCAGGATTACATTCGCGCCAGCCAGAATTTCCCCCAGCTCCTCAATTCTTTCCTCGATAACCAGTCAAGCTTTCGTCAGCGGGTCGTCCAAACGGGCGAGCAGACCATCCGCTCGCTGCTGATCGAGCCGGTACAACGACTACCCCGATACAGCCTCTTCATTGACCAGATCGTCGCCTGCCTTCCTATCACCCACCCGGCATTACAACTCCTCCTTCGCGCGAGAGATATAATCACAAACATCTGCTCCATGGACGATCCCCTTCCAGAGAAGCCCCACGTCACAAATCGCCTTCGCGCTATGGTAGAACACTGGCCAGCGGACCTTGAGCCCCAGGGCCGGTTGATCCTGGCTGTCGACTACCTCGAGCTTGCGGCACCTTTTGACTTTGTTTCGCAGAGCCAGGAGCTCTCGGACAGGCCAGGTGTCTTGCTTTTATTTTCTGACTGCATCGCCATCCTCCAAAAACGGACAAACTCGGGCCTCACAGGCCGTGACTTCTTGCGCGAGATTGACAAACCGTCTCCGGCGGGTCTGCTGGCATCTATGACTAATGCCGCCGGTGGACCAGGAATGTGGGAATTTGCCTTTGGTGGTTGGCATAACCTGGCCGATGTCCGCTTCACCGAGTCCTCCGATGGCCGGCTGGTCTGGATGACATCGACTCAAGAGATGAAAGGCGCCCCTGCCGGCGAGCATTTTACCAGCAAGGCCATCACTTCTCGGTGCTTCCTTCTCCAAGATCATTACGAGGGCAGAGCGAGCAAATGGAGCGACGACATTGTCAAAGCCCGCATCGAAGGCCGGTTTGCCGAGAAGGAGAGGGAAGATCCTACTTGGACGCTCCGCACAGTGAGGATGCAAGACAACAATTTTGGGTTGCATGCTGCCGTCTTCCAAGAGGGCGCTCAGCAGCTCATCGAAGGTCGCAGAGAACCCGCCCCTATCCGCATTGTTTTGGACAACGACAAAGGTACCAAGGGGGCGCCTGTCGGCCATTACGGCGTCGAGGTCGTGTTTGAGGCGAGGACCGGCGACATGCGGCGCATCTCGATGAATACATTGGGCTTGAACGGGAAGAAGTTTACTGATGACGTGGCGCTGGAAGATTTCCTACCGACCCTCTCGCGCAGGATTGTTCAGCTACTTAGCGCGCAGTTCAGCGTCTCTAACTTGAGGCTCGTCCCCGCCCTGGTGTCGTACTACACCAAGATTTTGCGTTCGATCAACATCACAACCAAGGTAGAGAGGAACAGCCGGTCGTTTCTCTCCTCCTCGCCAGTCAAAATGCTTTCAAACCTACTGGTTGGGAGCAACGCCTCGTCGAGCACGACCTCCCTCGAGAACGTGGGCAGCAGTGGGTCGAGACACAAGAGGACCCGCTCCAACAGTCACAGGGACGTGGCAGTCGTAATATCCGGGTCGATCAAGGACAGAGACTTACCACGACTCACCGTGGAAGAAGAAGAGGAGCCGCCAGAGAACCCGCTGGTTCGCCTCGAGCAAACCTTCACCGGATACGTGGCCAACATGCAAGCGCGCAAGGGTTACTTCATTGGTCGCACCCTACTCAACAGATCCATGGCCGACGAGCTCCAGGTGAACGATCTCTACAACCGCCTCATCGAATTCCCCTACGACTTGGATGCAGCTTCAGAGCTGGGGACAGAAGTCATCTTTGCGGCGTTTGAGAAGTTTATCCGCATCGCTTGGCGTGAGCAGATCGGGCCCGTGATGACTATGCATCATCTCGAGGCTCTCCAAGTGCGAGCGTCCAAGAAGGTGGTGGGTGACTTTGCCGACTTTGTTCGCTTCCTGTTCAGCGATATGGCCCCTCAGAACCGCCGGGCATTCACCGCCCTCATGAAGTTGCTCGCAGATCTCCTCGAAGGCTGCAGCAATGACGGGGATAGGGGGGCGTTGACACTAGCATTCGCAGAGATGCTGGTCGACGACGCGAATCCGTCGGATTACATCAACCTTCTCGACCGCCTCGTCGAGGATTGCGACCGCATCTTCGAGAAGGCGGATGCTCCAGACCCCACTGGTTTACTGAGCGGCTTCAATAACGGGTACAACGGTTATAACGGTTTTCCCTATGAGGTTTTGATCGCTAGCAACCGGAGCCAAAAGTCGATCTCAGGATCGATGACTTCAAATACCTCGTCACTCCGGAGGAAGTTCGGGTTCGATACGCTCTTGCGGCAGAATAGCAAGACGGAGACCGACCGGCCGTCCATGTGGCGCACGCTGAGCAAGCACAGCAAGACCCAGAGCTTGGAGAGCGCGACCATGACGATAGCCAGCAGGTCAAAATCGGTAGATCTGGGCGCCAACTACACAATACCCAACCGGCTCCGCCGCCCGGGATCCCGGGACCGACCTCCAGTTGCCGGCGCCTTCGATGATATCGGACACCGCCCTCTGAGTTCTCACCGACTCGAAACCATCGGCGAGCCAGAAGTACCCGAGTTGGTCGAGACCAAGTCTCTCAAGAAGAAGCGCCGAAGCTCGCTCTCGGACCTTAAGTCCTTAATGTCGTCAACAAGTCTGGAAGATGACCCGGCGCTCATGCCTTTGAGCGTCAACCAACAGCAGACGTCGGAGAAGTTCAACTCGGTCCCTCAGCCAGAATCGCCCTCCAAGACCCCGAGCAGCCCTCAGTCCCACACACAATCCTTCCGCTCGTCGAAGCAAAAGGAAAACGACGTAGACTCGTTCCAGTCACCCACCGAATCCCCAGACGAAAGCGAGAAACCGGCCACGCGGAGACCGCGTGCTAGAACCATCACGATCTCGCAAATACCGACCCTCAAAGCGCCACCCTCGCGCATCCCCGGTCCTCCCCCGCTAGAATCGCCCACCCGCCCATCCAGCAGCCCCGGAAAAGCGTCGGGTACCGGCCAGAAGCTTCGCCTCCAATCCCCGCAAAAGCTGCGCGAGCGTTTACAAACCGAGAAGAAGGCCGTCGACGAGGTCGACGCGTCCCTAAGAAGCGAGCTATCCCGCATCTCGGAGGACATGGCGCGCGTTAACTCGGCCCTCCCTCGCTCTGCCACGGCCGACCTCCGCAAACTCTCCACCGCCGTCAAGGCGCTCGAGGACCACGTGCCGCAAGTGCTGCAGGAGCTCGAGGACCGCCACGCGCTCATGCAGCGCGACTTCGAGGCCACGCTCCGGTCGTCCGAGGCCAAGGTGAAGGCCATCGACCAGCTGTACAAGGAAGCGACGGCGGAAAATGAGCTGCTGTACGAGAAGTTCAACTCGGAGCTGGGCAAGATTGTCAAGGCGCTCAAGGGCAAGGGCCGCGAGGATAAGGAGGAGCTTGTTGCGAGGCTGAAGGAGTCGAGCGACGAGGCGGCGAGGGCCAAGAAGGAGAATGCGCGCCTGAGGAGGGAGATGGTCAGCTTGAGGATGCTACTGAAGGGGGCGACGAGCACGGCGAATGCTGGGAGCAGTGGTGGCGCGGGCAGTGGTGGGGAGGGGAATTAGGTGATCGTTGGGGTGCTTGGGTGGGGATTGTTTGGCTGGATTCGTTGGCCGCGCACCGTGGGCGAGCTTGGTTTTGAGGCGTTGATGGGTTGGATTTGGTTGGTTCGGTTAGTGTGGTCATTGTGTTGGTGGGGTCCCGGCTGGGTTTGTGTTTGGATTATGGCCGCTGTTCAGGGATGGCGCGGCCGGTGTATGGTATCGTTGATGTTCAGTCTTTGATGATCATTCGATGTTTGAGCATGCATAGCCGCAGCAAGAATGCTGACATGGTTCAAATACTTTCGTGGGTCTTTTTTGTCTTGGGTATCATGATCAACGCCGTAAAAGCCAAACCAGCAGCATCATAATTCAGAAAGGTTGCGTCAGCTCCTGACTTTGATCAGGCCCCTCCGCCATCCTCATCAACACCTCCTTCGCCTTGCTCTCTTCAACCCAGCACTCGAAGAACAACGGCCCTGCCTCCACCGCCCTAATCGGCCGTGTCCGCACGCCACCGATATCCTCCCCAGCCACCTCCCGCCCTTTCCCTTTGGGCTGCAGGTTTGGCTCAGACGGTATCCACGCCTGCGGATGCTATCATTCCTGTCAGTGAACCACGATTCTTCGAGAATAGAACAGGGCCAACTCCGGAACAGTAAAAAGAGACACATAGACATACCCCAATCGGCGCCCTCCCCTCCTCCCCCAACTCCACCGCCACCGTAAACGAACACCCCGATCCCGCCGCCCCATTCCCATTCCCATCACCCCCGAACCCCACCCCCACCTCCTTGATGCCCAAAAAGATTCTCTAACAGCGACATCCCCTCCGCCACCCCCGCCATCCGTCTCAGCGCCACGAGCAGCTGCTCGTACAGATCAGGCCGCGCCAGCCCCAGGTAGCGCACGTCCGCGCCCTGGTGCCCCTCGCGTGCCTCCTCCGACCG